AAACGCTTTCTCCCTGTATGATGGATATTTTAAATATGCAGCTTGCACCACTTCCTGTTACACTGGCGAGCTTGCCGATACGCGATCAAAAAAAAAAAGAAAAGAAAGAAAAAAGACAATTGCAACGGAGCGTGTAATATATACAATGCGGTCTCGATCGTTACCTTGGTCTTAACACTGAATCGTTTGTTTGGAGAATGCCTTGTAATCGGTCTGAAAGCTGGAGAATACCAATAATCTTATGTTCAACTGATATACGATACGATACATGATGCATACCATACGCGTTCTCAAATAAGCCGCAAAGCAAGCCACGTTTACCGCATTTTCCGAGATATCATAATCTATAACTACGAAATTTATTATATATCTTTCATCTAATCGAAGCCAATATTTTTTTCGCCATAATAGTCCTTACAAATGCGTTAATTAATATTATGACCTGGGAGGTATACATATGTAAGCCGCGGAAAGAAATTATTGTTACGAGGAAATCCGGCATGGCGTGCGATTATGCGTGCAAAGCATTCATGTAGAAGACGATCAACTGACGATTTACCACCTCGTGTCGGTGTTCGTTTGCAAACGTTTCGCTAATCTAATATCGGGTTGCGTTTATTATGATTATGATGCGAGCTAACTTCTCACGAAATTCTAGATCGCATATTTGGGAAATCGCTCGTTATATCATTTGCGACTTAGGGCAATTATTATGTGTTTCGCGACATAATGTCATCTTAGATAATTGAATTTGCATCTAGATAGAACTTTGACCTTTTACTCGAAATCAATGTAGGCTCGAGTTTCTCTTCGAAACTAGAAGCCTGCTTATCCCACCATGATAGGTGAATTTAATACACAATTTTCTAATGCAGAGCGAGGACTTTCATTACGTGTTCATGCGTGTTAGAATAAAAATATCTCTGTGCCGTGAACAGCAAGTGCGTTCTTTGACGCAATGAACTACCATCCGTTAATTACGCGTTAGTCAAAGCAAAGGGAAAAAGGCACCCAACGGGAATATTCCACGAAACCAATTTGTTTCGCTTCGTGTGACGTAATGGAGATTTCCTGACATTTTTACAACGTAACTCTGTATAATTCATTAATTTATAAGCTAACGATAAAATTCGGGTTCCTGCGAGCACTCTCACTTCTTTATTCCACTCTCGCGGAAGCATTTCTTCCATATACAAATGTAAATATCTTCATTACATCATAACAGTTAATTTAAACACAAAATCATCGTACAGCAATGACGAAGATTACAGATTGTACAATAATATTATATAATATATAAAATATTACAAAACATTATAATTATACGATATATTTTATTATAATAAGCAGAGTATAATAATGCTCACTTAATAAACAACCATTCATCTCGTTGTAATAAACTATGAATAAAAATCTTTCACGAATATATTCAAGAGATTCGTTTAGCTCGATATTTATTAAAATAATCCGAGTAAACAAGTCTGACATGTTAGTATAGCGTCGCAATCGCAGATTCACACTTTTTGCGTAGAAATTTTCTCGACAAGCCGCTGTCGCTCTTCGTATCACCAAGAAATCTGGACGATTTGATCCGGACGATAAAAAGAAAAAGAAAAAAAAAAAATGAAAATTACGTACATGCTCGTTATCACGCGAAATCCGATCGGATAGCATGCGTGCTCGGCTTGTGTTCAGGCGCCATTTCCGAAGCGGCGGCTTACGCGCGCCGTACGCATCGCGGAGAATTACGCAGCTCCGAGACGAACGTAACCCGGGTTTCGCGTTTCCTTGCTTTTACGTAACTCCGACATGATTCCAGAGAGCCACTTTGCTCTCCCACCCTGTGCAATTTCACCGGGTGGTTTTGGCCATCGCCGAGTCCGTCCTTTATAAGCGGACATCCCCGACGGTCAAAACACAGAATCGCATCGGCACAGTTCGCAAACGACGCATAGCCGCTGTCGTCGACGAAATTTTCACGAAGTAACGTTTGATTAATTGAGACAGACCGAATCGAAGATGCACTCCCACACCGTCGCTGTGAGTGACTTATCGTTAACATATACGTCCATCAGTCTCATCACTCGGAATCTCGGTTTTTTTTTCTTTCCGATGCTCGTTGGTTTTGTGTGATCGTCAGTGATTTTAACAATAATAATAATAACGCGACTCGCGTAATAAAACTAAGTGTGTATTTTTGCGCGTCATTTTTGCAAAATGTGCGCGAATTTTGTGATTACAAAATTACTCTCGAAAATAAGGTCTCGAGTGACTTTCGAAATTTTTCAATGATATTTCAAATCCTATCATCTGATAATCTGATCTAATTCTTCAAGTTTAGAAGAAATTTTAACTAGGGAAACTAGGGAAAAAGATTTTATTTTTTAAATACACTTTTTGTCGCAATGCTAATGTTTAATATTATCTTCACATGCATTTTTCACAAGAACTTTTTTCATTTGTATCTGTTATTCTTTATGTTTAACCGCACATTTTTTTTTACATAACATTAAAATTCCCAAAAAAGAAAGAAGAAAAAGAATTGATTTTTATTGACTGAAGATCTTGAATGTTTAAATAAACGATAACTGTTACTGCTTGAATTAGAAAGACGATGCACTCGTACTATCGCTGTGCATGAAAGAAGCGGCAAGAATGAAAAAAATGTGGATTAAAAAAACATCGTGAATTTAAATTTAAACCTCTGTACGCGATGCACTTTCGCATATTACAACCAAACCGCAATCCCATACCTCTCGTGTTGCAGTTGCTCGTGTTCGGAATAATGGCCGTGGCTTTGGCATCGCCGATACCGGGCCATCATCAGTGAGTAGCATTCAGATTGTTGCATTTTTTTCTAATCGAATTAGAATCTTTATTATAACATTGTGTTTCTCTTCAGAATTTTTTACTATTTTAATTAATTGTATAATAATTATCATATTAAATGTATATTTTATATAATTATAAATAATTAAGTGCTAGATAAATATAACAAGGAATAATTAAATGTGGTATAACAATTGGAAAACGATTGTATAATTTTAGTGAACATCATGTGATCCACGTGCCTTATCACGTGCACACGGTCCATCATCATCACACCAAGAAGATACACGTGCCGGTACATCATGTCGAGAAGGTAGCCGTTCCTGTTCCGGTTCCGGTGCATCATGTCGAGAAAGTGCCAGTTCCATACCCAGTACATCATGTTGAAAAAGTGGCCGTACCTGTTCCGATTATAGAGAAGGTTCACGTCCCCGTTCACATACCCGTTCACGAGGAGAAACACGGCTGGTTTTAAATGGATTTATCTTGTTTTCAGTTTTAATTATGTTAGGTTTGTAACGAAACTCTTATTAATGTATATCAAAATTATAGTGAATTGAAGGGCACATTTTAAATATTAATTAGAATTTTTGCAGTACTCTTAAATTTCTTAAAAGTAATCTTAGTGTCGATATATTTTCTCCAAGTTTCAAGGTGGACACACATCTTTTTTTTAAATTTCTTGAAACTATAAAAAGCCGCATAAATACTGTTAAAGTGCTGTTATAAATACTTTCTAATTCACTTTTATTGTAAATCGTAATATGCAAATTTATTGATCGTGTACTTAATGATTCTGAAACTGGTTTTTCAGGTTAATACTCAAGGTGGAGTCTGAGTAAGTAAGAGTTCATACAATTAAATCTTCATTGTCGATTCATTGATAATAACTTTCCTCATGAGATATAAAAGAGGATAAAATCGCTCAGTACAAAATTACTTACGCCACCAGAGCAGCATTTAAGGATTTAGTATAGGAACCAACTCTGTATGCACGCCTGTGTACTCAGAACGAAGATACTTGTACATACTTTTCATCGTGTTACATTTTTTTATCATTATTTTTGTACAATAAACGTTTGATAAAAAAATATTTTGTATAAATGTACATTTATTCATTTCCTTTGTTTTTGTTAAATGTGTTAAATGACTGAAGTTTCAAAAATATTTCATATTTTAAGGATCTTATAGACACAATTGATCATTAAATTATCCTTTTTATTAAATCGTACATATATATTTTAATAATTATCTAAAACTACATTATTTTATAAAGATGTATTAGATAATTGCTCTTAGAAATGTTCTCTCATAAAAGAAATATGCTTAAAGGGTAAAGAAATAAAAACATAAATATTTATTTTGCAAAATTAACAGTGTGAAATAATAAGAAATAAGACGGCGTCAGATAATTGTCATCAGATGAAATAATCCTGTCGTGATCAGTTCTTTAATCACTGGGAAATCGTGGTGACAAAGTGATTTACCAGCCGTCCACCTCTTCATGATGATCATGATGGTGATCATCATCTGATTTAACCGGTATGTAAATCTTCTTCACATGTGTATGATGATGCTTATCAATGAGATGTGGCACATGGATGATGAAGTGTGTGCTAAAAGTAATTTTAAGCCACTTTGAATATACGTTTACGATATATGTCATATATCAACACCAAAATTATATATTATCTTCTTCATATAAAAAGTATAAATAATTCCATAAAAAAATAAAAAATTACTGTTCATGACCATGTCCGCCGGGATATGGTGTTGCTGATACTAAAGCCATTGTAACAACCAGTAAAAGTAGAATCTAAAACAATAGAAAACACTATATAATTATAAATATTTTGTTCCGAATAAAATTAAAAATTATACGCTTGCTTTTTCTTTACATAAAAAATTAATGTGTATATAGTTCCTTGTTGCGATCAGATGAAAATAGATCAGAGATCTAATCTTTCACGATCGGAGAAAGTATCTGTTGATCACGTGTACGGCCTTGTCGAGAAACCAGGAAATAAAATGAAAGTAATAGTGATCGAATCAGACGTAATTATAATAATTAAGTAAAATTATTTTAAATGTCTGAACCAATTTCTACATAGACATATGTGTATGCACGGAAATGCATATTTCAATCTCGTCTTTATTCTTTCTATCACGTTATCTCTTTTTTACAAATGTTTTGTTAAATTTATTAGGCATTATTTATTAGGCAATAATTATAATATTATATATAAATATTTATTACATTATATTATATTTTTTTGTATAAAAATATCTTATTTTTGCTATTTAATTCTTTAAATTATATTTTTCTTTGTTTCTTCTTTTCCTTAGTTAGTATCAAATAAATATTATTTTATACTTTATTTTTTTAAATAAAGTAAAACAAAATTCCAAATAATAAAAATTAATTAAAACTTTTAAAATGTTTGAATTTGCACACAAAACTTGTTGTGAACTGTAATAAAATGGGCTTTCACTTGCTTCTTCAAGCAAATAAATACTATCATTCTCAAAAATCACTGAAGGAAGAAATAAAGATAGAATTATCACTTGGTGAAGCATTCACATGTATCTAGAAATCGTTTCGTCTCGCGTAATTAAACAAAAAAAACATCACATAACAGATTCACGTTTAGATCTGACACCCACATGTGTTCCGAGCTTGATCATATTCGTTCTATATGAATTCCCGAAATGTGCACCTTACTCTTCTAAAGACCACAGCCGTGCGATGACTAAAAGTCCCTTCTTAACTGCCAGCCTTATAAATAGAATATAGATAATCAGTGAACCGTGCACGAACGTTAAATAACAACAGGTGGACCTGTTTTCCTGAAAAGTTCTGGGTGCACTTCACTTCACTTGAAACCACTCTCACCAGTGATTTTATACGAAACCTTACGTGCGGTCTCGCACGCGCATTGTCGTAAACTCTATTTTCGCGGGCTTTCTGTCGCAATTTTCAGGACGCTCACACTTCGAATTAATGATTGCGCGCCTTCCCCGAGCGTAGTCGCCTCTGCGAACTATTTGGATCGGAAGTGTCGAAATGCACTCGAGAAAAAACCCGGAAGCTCACAGAATTTCTCCTTCGGAAGGAAATCGATGCATTATTCTCCAAATGATGAAAGTAAAGTGAGTTGCCTTTATTCCTCCGTTGAATATCATGATAACAATATCAGGAAGTAGAGAATATTAAAATAAAGAAGTAATAATGCTCATAAAGAGAAAATTATAATTGGATAACTTTTTTTCTTTTTTTACTTTTAAGTGAAATCGATTTACCGCAACAATTTAAGTTGCACAAACTGCGCGATTTCTCGAAAAAAACAATTGCGAAAATTTCTGGTTTTTCTTCACGTTTGTCTTATTTCTTATTTGATTTTCATAAAATATTCGCTTATTACATTTAGATTACGCCGATCATCACGGTTGAATAAGCGATTCTCTGTTTCACTTATATAAAATTAAAATTATGTGTATACGTAATCAATCAATGACATTACATACATTATAAACTATTATATAACTTATGCAATCTCTTATACATATTACATAATTTTATAATCAATATTTATTTTTACAATTTTATAAATATAATTGTAAGCTCTCTTAACTATAATAATTTTTAAGAAATAACCGTTTTCCTTCTTATTCTTTTTTAAATGTTATATATGCAGATTAGAAAATATTATTTCTTTCCTTTTATTTCTGTTAATTAAAAAATTTAACAACAAAAACGTAAAAGAAACTGCAACAGAATTTTAAATTTAAAAGAAATTTTTCTCTTAGTTTTTGTTTTGTGAATTCCTATTATTTTTAAATAGATAATATTTTTAACTAATAATTATATTTTTATTCTTTGCAAATTAATAAGATTGCAAGATCTATATCGGTTTTAATGTTCTACGGTTTTAATTACGGTTCTACTACGGCATGTACGGTATATACATATGAGTGAAATCGCGCCTCATTTATTACATTGGTTCTTTCACTTTCCGTTTACTTTCCAGCTTGAACCAATCCAGTCAATGTCTTTTCGATACGATCATAAATACGATTTAATTCCTGTTAACAGATGTCAATTAATTCTTATTAAGAAAATTACATTCACATTTCGGAATAGAAGATTCCTTCTTCTTGCGGAAAGCAAATTAAATAAATAATACAATTACAAACATTACGGATGATAATATTACGGAAAGATAATATTAAAAATAAATAAAATTTGTTTCATATCGATAGATTAAACATTTAATATAAAAAATTATGTTTGTATCAAAAAAGATATTTTTAATATTTTATTAAAGTGATAAAATATATTTATTTAAATTTTTAATTAAAATTCTGTAAATAATGTAAAACAATAAAATAGAAAGAATTGTTTATGATTACATAAAAAAATGTTGTATAACTTTTTCGATTTATCAAATATGTGTTTTAGGTTGGCATAAACGCCGTATCTAGCAATCAGAAGTAAGCAAGAAAGTGCATCAGGTTGCATATTTCCAGAGATTGTACTATATTTATATTTCATCAATTTACTTTTCTAACAAAATTTATCTGAATAAAATTAAAAGAATACATTATATGAAATATTATTATATTAATTGAATGAAAACAAATAACAAATTATACAAATTAAAAATTATATTTATTACTTTTCTTACTTTTTCTTTCCAAATTATGCAATTAAAAAAATTGAAAGAAATTAATTTTTTTAGATCACACATTTGAAAGATAGACATTCAAAATATACAAATAAGATGCAAATAAATATATTCCTTTTTATTGTTAAATTCTTAGCTTATACAAGTTACATATATATATTCTTATATGTATAGATTCGCTAAATCCGCTGTTCACAAAATGTCACACGACTATGATGGCTGACTTTCTTTTTTATTAAATTACACATTAAAGCGTTAAGCGGAAATCTGTAAAAGACTATAATTTATGTTTGTACTAGCAAATCAAAGATCTTCATGAATTACTTCCTGGCACTGCTTTGCTTTCTATGTCATTTACGATAAATGATCATACAGTATTAATGTAATGAACAAGCATAATGTACATATCAGGAATTAATGGATAATAAATTGAAAAGTGAAAGCGGAAGAAACTTTGCACTTCAAAAATTTAAATTATTTCAGCCATCTTCAATCAAGGAAAAATTAATTATTATCTCAACTCCACGGAATAAATCGTAAAATATGCGAACATTATTACATATATATTCAGTGAAATTAATTTGAAACAAGTGCAACGATATGTAAGGAATAAAATATTTAATATTTAATAAATATATTTTGTATTTAAATATTTCAGTAGCAGTAACGAATTGATTGTGCAAAATAAAAACAGCGCTAAACGATTATTTATCACATTTAACGTTATGTATAAAAATTATTTAGTTATTATTCGTATAATTATGTTATTATTTGTATGACAAACTTTAACGAGCAAGCAACGAGGCGAGTCGCTTTGCGTGACGAATCATCTTTCGAGATACGTTTGCGACAAGTACCGATAGAAAATGTAATCCTTTCGTATAACAAATTAGCAAAGTAACAGAAAGCTATAACATAATGGTCATTTACTAATATTTCACACAGGATTTGTACGTCATAATGTATTATATGTGTAATTTTTTGACGCTGCATTTTCAGATAGCGTCTTAATTAGCAAATTATTCGATTCGCATAACGTCGAGGTCGATGTTATTCTTTTATTTTTTGCCATTCTGTTATTTTTATTAACAAAATAAAACGTTGTGGAACGTTGAAATGAATCGCAATGCTGAGACGAGTAGCTTCGCGACGCATTTAATTTGTGAATGTAATTGTGAATGTAATTGATTTATTTTGTACTTTGTTATTTATTAATAAGATATTGCAATATCTTAATCTATAATTTTAATAAATATACTTATAATTAACTTTTATTATATTGATTATGCATACAAAGATCTCATAAAAAGAGCTCATTGATGCATTTATATTTGATTTAGTTATTTATTACTTTTAATATCTTTAATATCTTCTATTTTAATATTTCTTTCTAATATAATAGAATATAAATTAAAAGTTAAAATTGAAATTGTGTGTGAGAGAAGAAATAAGGAGTTCAAATTTTAAATTTAAAGAATGGTTATATTTTATACAGTTAGGATACTAACAAGTGATAAATAATGATAATGATATTTACAAAGAGGAAAATAATAATATTTTATATACATATACAATTTTTATTAAGAACTGAGTTTCTTATCCTTTATAAATAAAATTATTTGTTATATATTATTATACCGTAATATATACCGTAATAAAAAAATAATGCCATATATTAAAAACATATAAAAATTTTATTGAAACAATCACAATACTCTATTTACAAAACATTATATGTACAAACATAATACATAATATTGATTTAATCGCAATTATACAGCGTCACTAAAAAGTGCTAGCGAGCAAGGCACGTGAAGATTTAAATTGAGATGCGTGCCTAGTGTTATAATGAGGTATAAAAAAATATGAACAAGGTCGCATAATTACAAATTATAACAATATGCGTTTTAACTTTTATCACACTGGTTTAAATGTTTTATAACTTTTTTTAATGCTCACTTAATTTTAAATTGTTAATATTCCCAATATTATTATACCCAA